CTGTGCCTCATGTCTTCTGAAGCTACCTGTCAGTTTCAACACTATACGAATATCTTGGTTCTTCTAAGAAGCTTTACCAACTGCTGTCTCACTGTTAAACTGTATATTCCCAAAGCCGAGTATTGTTGGAAAGAGTAACGGCCACTGCATAGAATCATTCATTAGCCAACAGTCTCTCTGCATACGTTAATTTATGTAATCAGGTCCTAACTGTTTCCGCTGCCTTGACGTGATGGTTTGACTTGTGAGCTGTACTCCTCTGAAAGACTGTGGTGACTAGGGCTTTTACAAGTTCAACCATTTCAGATAACTCGAAGGAGAGCGGTCAAACAATAGGCGTTTACGTTCACAGGTTTATACGTCGTGCTACTGATTGCGTAACATTGCCTGAACAGTGAAACACAACCCAATGAGTTTACAGAAGGATTACAACTATAAGTGCAACATTGATGTATTTTGCATATGGAAGAAGCAGATTAGAACAGGTACATTCAAACTAAGAGCACCCCAATCGCTTAGCGGTTTGCAGTGACTACCGACGTATTACCACGTACGGTCGAGAAATTTGTAATACGTCTCAAACGCTCACCGTAGGTTACAAAACATCCACTGCGTGCGGTCGTATTCTCTGCGCACTGAGCTTGGTTAATCCCCACTGCAAAGTGAGTAAGGCTTTTGGGTCACTGGCTCCGGGTACAGTCACCCAAGAAGACTCAGTTCTCTTTTGTCTCGCAAGTGAAACTGTTGATCTGGGGACTCAAGCTGGTTTCCAAGTCATCTAAGAGGCGTCATGGCTACAGGACGATGTCCGCCGGGACATGGAATTTGCCTACGCCGCCCGATCGAACGCAGCAACGCGCAGATCGTAATGAATGTGTGGCGTTACAAAATCGATGTCGCAGTTTTCAATGCAAAAAGCTTTGCAGACCACGGTATGCTAATGGAAACAAACACTAGGTTCATCCTTTACTGGATACGTTACACGAAAGAACTTGTGCGGGAGAACGGTGTGCATTTCTTAATCACTCACATGAATCAGTCTTTGAATCATATTCATGTGCTTTGACTCGGTCGAGGTAAGTCTACTATATTTGTTGTGTCCAAGATCCAACTTTGTGTCATACCGGTGATGCAAGTGATCAGATTTATGACCAGCTGTCCACCAAAATTCTCACGACACCGGTGGATAGCTGACTGCTTGTTATGGGCGACTTCGATGTGTAAGTCGGATGCGAATCAGTGGCCTCGTACCCCCTGGTAATGGTGCAAGCGATGGAAACAGTGGCTGTCCGCCCTATCTGTGTGCTACTCACAGGTTAACTGTAGGGAACACTCAATTCCAGCCGAAAGCAAACGATATGAAGATGTCGAGTTATCCGCAAACCAGTCATCACCATTTCTTTGAACACGTGATCGTGTGACGGTACGACACTCGAAAATCGCCAGTCACGCGAGTGATGCACGAAGCAAAATATATGATGCAACACCATGAATGCAAGCCAGTTTGTTGTGGGACATTAGGATAACAAATAAACCACACCTATTCCATTTTAAGAGGTATTGATATCATTCCAACATATCCAGGGAGGTTTCCCTGGTTTTCATTAACGAATGGGATAGCAGAGTTAATGTGCACATGGGTAGGCTGACAGACACGTGGATTGGATATTTCCTATGTATCGAGAGCACACAGATCCGTCGGGTGCAAGGAGTGAGTAGGATTGACTCCACTGGTCCTAGTTGCCGGGTTGACGGGGATAGGTTAACACATACGCGGTGAGCATTGAGCCTGTGAGTGAGGTCGTATGACACAGGAGACACAGGGACAACACCCGTGGCAAACCGGTCTTCTGGCTGTGGATCCGAATGATCCATTCGGATTGGCACACGCCTCAGTCGACTTGGTCTGGATGGCCGAATGCGCCCGGCAAATCCTTTATATGGTGGTCGAATGTCAACCATCTGGGGAGCAGGCAATTAACGGTCGTGATAGCTAAGGGCATGGCTGAAATAACCAGGGTAATCGATTGGCAGCTGTCTCTAAGCCTAAGCCTATTGTGCCCTGGTGTGTGACAAACTATTGCGGGTCCATTCTTGTTCTAGATGACCCGACTGTGATTCAGGCGAGACAAACTGCCTCACTGGAATGGCGTATATGTCTGATGACGGTGCAGTACTACTAGGTGGAATTAGATCTATTTCTGTGCTGTGGTTGATCGAGTCAATGTAAGACACTGGGGGTTGTTAATTCAATGCGAAAATTTGTCAGCTGATGAGTTATATCAAAGCGGCTAACTAGTTCGTGATAGAAACCGACTACTGGATGTACATAATTTATTCGCTTCGTTTAACAAATATTTGTCTGCTTAAAAATCTAAATCGCCACCACTTCTAATTAATTTCACCCTTTTCCCGTTGTTTCCTCTATTGATCTACCCTGTAAAGATTTTTTGTGAAACAACCTACACATACAGGTTGTAAATGTCTTAGCTGATAATAAACTCCGTTCCATGAGCGCATAACTCTGGTATTTCTGCCATAGAAACCTATGAACCTGAATCCACTGCATGGTCGATCAATTCAGCCTGAACTGAAAAATTGTTTGCTCGGTGTCGACCGTCTAAGTGATCATTGATAAGTACCACTTACCCGTCAGTCCATCATTTCTCGTGTGCCCCTACACGTAACCTTCATTCCTCTGTTCCACTATTCGCCAAATGTGGACTAACTCGGCAGTGGTATACGAGGAAGAAAGTCAGCCTATTTAGAGGTAAATTCAGGCTACCTTTTACTTCAACTGTGCATACGGTTCGAGAATCCGGTGACTGGCAAACCTTCAGCTGGCAAAGCTTATTTATATGGGGAGATCTGATTTTGGTATGTAAGATGCTACATCATCCTCAACATCACTGAGCAAAGACATTTGTGCCAAGCGAAACTAACCATTACAGAGGTAACGCGTTAAAGATACAACATCAAATGATACGTTTGACCTATGAAGGACAAACTTCCAGTAACCAGGTCTCATTGAAATTGAAAAGTTTTAACGGTTTTGCAAGGCAAAGCAACTCAAACAGTAGTTGGTTAAAGGTTAAAATTAGCGGAAAGCATACGGTCAGCCTTGTGGTTGCTGTTACTTATGAAGTATGCCTACCCGGTGATGTTTGTCTGCGCGTCACATTGTAGGAACATCAAGTGTTGACATTTGTATCTACTACCTTATCTGTTAGTTACTTGTGCTGCTTAGCTGAGATTTCATAATGCCTATCGGTCACTGCGAATGTTATGAGCCCTTACAGGAACTGTGCAGAAACGCAGTCTGACCGAAGATCGTAGAAAACTTCATCGTTTTATAAGGCAGGATGTGGTAAGAACTTGATAATTTCCCCAATGACAACAAAGGGCGGCACTTATGACGCTGAACAAACCGGAATTGTCACGGATTATTTTGAGTAAGAAATATCGGTAAAATGAAAAAAATAAAATTAGTCTGAACCACCGACTATTGTTGGTTCTAAAGTTGAAATGATGTCATCTGCTTATTGCGGTTTACAAAAGTAACCAACAGATAGTACAGGACGCATATTTGTAAACGTATACAAAGTTCACAAACAACTTCTGAGAATTCGACAGTGATTTCACTTTGTTTACGTAGTGCGTGATAAGTCAAAGCACCTCAGATACTCACCTAGTTTTGAGCCTCCTCAAACCATTACATTGGTGCTATTGCATTATCTATCGTTTGATATCTAGACCCAACAAAACATAAAAAGGCTTATGAAAGCAGTTTCAGTTTCCATCAATTTAAGGCTAACATATGAATAATACTAGAGTCAGGTGAATAAATCAGAGAGCTTAAATCCATAACCTGCTCAGAATAGAAAGCAATTCTTCGTTATCTCTGAGTGATAAAATAAAACAAAAGGATGACAGATGCATGCTTGCATGATCTCACTTTTGTCAATTTGTTGGTCGTTTGTCGTAAAATGTTTAGTGTAAACGAGGCAATATCTTGACTGGTTTATTGAAATGTTTTCCGACGAAACTATGTACGTAATGTCATTAGTTCTAATTATCTTACTGAGGGTCAGGTATGTGTGTAACTGGGTAAAAATAGACAATTATGTTAGCAAACTTACAGATTTTGTACTCGAAGTTGTCTGAGGACTTGTGCTTGTAACGGAGCTTATCGGAAGTTAACAGACAGGATCAATATGATTATCACACCGTCCGTTCCTCAAGATGAAGTAACGAGTACAAGGATGCGCAAATTTGTCTCAAATAAACCCATATCTTTTAACGGCTTTTGCTAAAGTCGACTTTGGTCACAGACGGTCGCAACCTGTAAGCTTCTGCTAAATAACTGGTAATTTTTATTATGGCAATCCGAAATCGACAAAAGGGCTTCTTTAAAGCTAACAACATAAACTGATCAATTAAGTGTTCTGTTGTACGCGGTAAAACTGAGTATGTCAAGGTTTCTATCGGATAGTCAGTATGAAGGACACTGATTAACAATACCCTAAATTTTGTAAACTTTTAACGAAGACCTCTTCCAGTTCAAAGGACTGTTGTTCAACTAGCTCTGGGGTACTTGCTTTTCAACTGCATAAAACACAAGTTTAGCTAGAGGCGTTTACTGAATGTGACACTGGAATTTTTTACTTCAAGACTATCTCAGTTATAGAAGAAACCCAATTGCGAAAAATCGGGACTTCGGCAAGATTCGAACCAGCGACAGAAACTACATACCCAGACGCAGCAAGTTCCCTAGCAGCTGAGCTACAAAGCCACACCGGAAGCTCAGAAATTTTACATTTGAACTACTTGTCAGTACTACAATGTCAGTGCTCTTCGGTGACGTTGGTAGATTCCAGTGTGAACTGATCGAGAAACCCTGATTGGGCAGTCAGTCCGCTGGATCATTTGGTGGATTCCATATGAGACAGTGGGACGGGTGGGTAACCGAGTCCAAATGTGAAATTTCCGAATTCCGGCGTGGCTTCGTAGCTCAGCTGGTAGAGCATGTTTCGCGTTTGAGCATGTTGTTTCTATCGCTGGTTCGAATTCAGCCGAAGTCCAGATTTTTGGCCGTAGGGTCTCTTCTAAATTATCAAATCCACCAAACTACTTATCAGTACTACAGTATCTTAGTTATGATCAGATTGCACTTTAGGCTTTCCTGTTGTTAATTCCTTTTATCCGAACTGGTAGTGAAGCCAGTAAAGCTGGCAACAAGCCAGTAGTTGACTTCAGACACCTCAGTGTCAATCGATCGATTGTTCATTGTTGAACTAGCCAAGCGGTGTCTCCGACTAACCCCGGTTGAATCGGAAAGATTTCATGAATCAGTGTTCACCAGAAGTTAATATCTGTGCTAATGCACAAGTAGGAGAAATCGAATACGTAACCAACACTACCGTCTCTGTTTCGCCCTTTTGCTATCGTTTCAAACGAGCAAGGAAGAAAGTGGTTGAGTGTATACGGAATGCATTCGTCCTGTGCATAAAGTACTTCTTTATTCAAATATCACAGCAGTATGGATATGATATGCTTAGTGCAACCTCAACAACCTTTGTTAATCCATGTGATTTACACCATTGTCAAAAGCGCACTACTATTCTGTCGTTCGTTTATCATTGGCATGTGTGATGTGCACCCTTCTACTATGAGCTCTATGACAGGTCCTATTGTGATCATGTGCACACAAGTTATAGGCGTACTCGCTTAATTCAGAGGATGCTGTTAGCTGAACAGTATACCAATGTTGATCAAACAGAGATAGAGGGCGGGAGAGAGAGGTCTACCAGTTGACGTCTTACAGCTCCTTATTGATCACCCTCAACATTCTAATGGTTCTCCCTACTTATCATTTGCGTAATTTGGTGATTAGGCTTATCTTTATTTTTTATGGCGCATTCCTGCCTGCCAACTAACTTGAACAGTCATGGCCTAAATAATGTTCTAACGAAATAACTTATGGTAGAACAACATATGGAAGAACATTGTGAATTTAATAGCAAGCAGAAAGCCAACATAACACAATGGTTACTCATCTGATATGTCCATTCGTTGCATTTTTAGTGGTACACTTTTAAGCCATTGAAATTTAATAAAGCTTTTCGCCTTCTTGATAGTCCACCGTTTTGTTAATGAAAACGACACGTTAGTGAACAATACTTGTTTTCTGTGTGTGTTTGATCATCAGGTTAATTACAGCACAACAAATATGAAAACAGTAACTGGGTGAGTCGGGAAAACGGTCAATAAAGGTTATGGACAGCGTGGTTGTTATCAGTTACGCAATCACTGTTCCAAATCGTGGGCTTGATTGATTATGGGTCAGGGGAGATTAAGTGTCCGTACGAACTTCTTCGGAGCGCAGAGGTCAGGGTTGCGGAATCGGATACTAATGGCCTCGGCAACGGTCAACATTTGGAATCTTCTCATCTTTGATCGATTCCTTAGCACTCGGTAAACAATCTGAAGAGGGTCTTTCTTACTGACAAGAATGGTTGAAACAAGTTAAAATCAAACTATTAGGCTTACAGACTGAAGTAATAGCCTGGGTATCGCTAACTATGGATGATACAATTCCCTACACGGGCAAACAAACGAGAAAAGAAACAGCTTCGTGTATTCAACCCAATCTGCCAACAGACATCATAAACTCTTACTGTTACGTGCAGTTTTAACTTTTCCGCTCAGAAGAAACTCCTTTGAGGTCCAAAAGTATAGTGTATCCTCGCATTGAATTACAATTTATCAGTTCATTTCTCGTTAGCCGTTCCCTTTAACTAACTTCTGAGGTCTTCATAGCAAACTTTCAGCCGCATCTTGTTTTCACTGGAGTGTATTCACACTCTAGCGTTAACACTGGTAAACAGATGCGGACGAACACACTACAGGTTTATGCTTGTTGATAATGTGAGTCGAAGTTTAAACGAAAGGTGATGCTCACCGTTGCTCATAAGCAGGCTAGCACACCACAAACGGTTCTTTCACCACTAGTCGGACTAATCAGGTAGATGTATGAAAACCGTCATTAGAATAGACGAACGTAGAAGTCTCTTGCGATATGTATAACCGTGCAACACTCTGGGAAGAACATTCATCGCCACCAATAAGGTTGTTTGCTGAACATTTCAATAAGTGAAGTAGTATAGCGGTTTACGTTATTCCCTCGTTCTTTATCTGAAATCTAACCTGAGGTCTGATAACAAGCCGGTTCTGAATAGCTTAGTTTCCTCACTGTCTTTTGACTGTTATGTGATATGAAGTTGATCAGTGGTGTCACAGGTGCAGACGTTATGCAACGTGAATTGCGGCATGCAAACCGACAGTTGACAAGTTAAAGAGATGCATTTGTGTACCGCTGAACGTAACCTAAACATCCGTTTAACTACAATCCGTGACAACTGAAATGTGGCCGACGACAAACGTGTCCTTGATTGACGTGGGAACTGACATCCGCGTTAGATGGCGAAGAGCTGGCGATTCAGACAACCACTTGATGTTCTGCTAGCGTAGCTGGTTTATACACGAACACAGACGTAAGAGTATACACGCATGAATGGTTGCAAAGCTTGTCAACCGATGGCCTTAATGTCAAATTCTGTTTACAATAACACGCGATTCAATAGGCATTAGAACACAATGACCTAGTCATATTTCGGTGCGATTTGAACTACGTGATCGTTCGTTTTTACGTTGAACTTACTTTGGTTCACACCAATAATACTTTAAACTGACTTCAAATTTCACAGAAGAAACTGACTAGTAGGCTGGAATTACCGAACGAATTTTGAAAATTTAAAAAATGTTGTTCTTGATTATGTCTGAAAATTGCGCGTTTGCTATTTGTGCGAAGTATACCACTCAGTCAGACTTGCTCTTCCAGGCCGAGATTACAAATCCTTCCAACTTACACATCATTCTTGTGTTATATGTGAAAAGTTTTGAGGCTATCGGTTGTCTACACCTGAACGGATGAAGACTGCCTTAAAAAATCAAATACGATTTATTCTGGGTATCACGTCAGCCGAACCTAGATGATAAATTAAGTAGTACTCTGAACATTAGTTGTAGCTAGCGGGTATACTCGGACGATGCACAAGCATCGTGTGAATAACGTAAGCACCCTAAAGGTTTTGCTACATTGACTTCTTTTTCCCATGGGTCTGCATCAGATCTATCCGTCGTTGTACTAAGATACATCGGAAGTCAACCATTACAATGGAAGCTCTGTTTAATGTCATAGCAAGCATCAAACACAATGTTTCCTCACATATGGTTACCAACTCTGGTGTACTCCGGGGGACTAGCTTGCATTTTCTATCCTGAATATGTATAAGTAAACTTTCATAAACAATAAATATACTGACGACGTTGTTTTTGGCATAGCTTCTTCTGATCCTTCAATTTCGACACTAAAATAACACAGTTTATCTGTTCTGAACGTGTAGAATGACAATCGTAATCTGTCACTAAATGCCTCAGGAGGTATTGATATTTTCTTCTCATCATCTAAAGTTGACGGCAATTTATGGAACAGCACCTGAAGTGAGATATCTAATATCTCTCTTTTCTTGGACAATTGTCAGTCAAGTATTTCAGATGACTTTGTGTCTCAGTGTGATTGATCCACCATCCAACTAATGTTTTCTTAAGAATCAGATGGGTCGTAGTAGTGTGATTTGTTTGAAACCGGTTCCTATGTCAGGTCAACTTATTTCACTACATTAATTTTTGCGTAACTCATCATTGATTTTACCGTTCTACAGGTTTCACTGAATATTTGCATGACATCTGAAACATACAGTATTTATGACAAAGTTCATAGGGATAACAGCCATCCCCTATTTCCAGATATGCCTTAATCTTCACTCGCACTCATACTAAGATCTTTACTTTGTCTCCTGCGTGCTCCTTTCAAAACGTACACTTCTTAAATGGGCCCCGACCTGGCCACGCGTCCAGTGGACACCGGATTCACTTCCTCATAATTTACTGCATGTACTAACCTTTTTTAAGTCTTTGGTAGGTCACTAAATTAAAATTCTTTCGGTTCAAGCTTTATAGTGACCACTGTAGCTCACATTCATGCTTCACTTGTGTTGCCGTTTTTATAGTTGGAGTACAATCTTTCAGAATGTACGGACGGGCTGTTGATTTTATCAGTTGATAACCGTGCGACAAGGCCGAGTGCAACCGTTAAAAATGATGGTACCTTACGGTTCTATTCACATTACCAGTGTATAAGTTTCTACTCAAACGTCAGCAGGAAGATAATCTTGCATATCAGCTCGAATTTGTAGGAATGCCAATAGTTTGGAGCTGGCAATGGTGTCCAACTCATGAAATCACTTGTTAATCACCTTGTCAGATGAGTTTATGAATGAGGTTGCATCAACATATTGCTCTTAGGTCAGCTACCGGTTAACACTAGTGGGAAACCAAGCATAGCATTGATCTGTCAGGCATGATCGAAACTAGTAGGCGCGTACGGACAGAGTCCGAACTGATCTTTAAGTCAACGTCATTCACCAAGATGCCAGATCAACGGACAGTCAACCGAACAAGGAGAACCACTGTATTTAAACATAACTTTGTCATTTCCTTTTAGCCTGACCGTTTTTGGTTATTCCAGCATTACTAAATTGTGAGTAATACACTTTTGAATACAACCTTCACCTGTTCTTCTGGCTGTAGGTCAAAACGTCTGAGTGTTCAGCAGTTACAACTGAACTAACATAAACATTCCTGCTCTGAGCTAACTTATTTTTTACCCGTACTTGATTACATACAGAATAACATTAGTATATAGTTTCAAAATTCTACCAGTTTTATTCACCAATCTATTACCATATTCTCAAAACGACTGGTAAATACTGTCTTATATAACTCTGTTACATGCGCATCTCGGATCCATCAGGCAGTAAATCCAACCATGTACTTCAATCGCTTCGAATTCAATCGGTGGTTCGCATGACTCGAACGCTCCCAAGTAATAGCCGAAAGACACCAATCACATACACACCAGCTTTGTCTAACCAACCCCTACTCCTATTGCAAGCTTACC